CCGAGGCCTCTACGTCCTGGAAGATTGGATTGGATTGGAGCCTGTGAAGCTCGTAGCATTTTTCCTTCGGTGATGAATAAAATATACATTCCATCGAACATTAAGGTTTGGTCAACGCCTATAGGTGTGTATATACGTCCACCGTCTAAAATTTTTATAGCAAAAGGCGATACCGCATGCATAAAAGCGATGTCGATGCGTTTGGCGGTTAGGGCTTCCGTTCGATCAGGACCTGCTCTAAAACCTTTAGGAATCCCAAATCGTAAACTTGCCTTTGATGAATGCTTGAATATAAACGGAGGACCTTCGAAGAAAGTCACCAATCCCTCGTCATTTCCGGTAACCGCTCGATAGGGCCGCACCGGGCGGAAATCCACGGAATTTATGTTTCGGCTGACTCCCATGATTTCCCCGACAGATGCTCCGGTTTCGGCATTAAAAACAGCACCAAACCTGTGAGGCCGATAAATTTCACTGATAAACGTCTAACTTGGACTGTCCAGTGCCACCCACGATTATACGCTGATTATCCGAGGTCCATGCGAGATCGCAGACGGGGCCCACGAAGGGTTGGAACTCATTTTTCAAAATATGTTCCTCGTTTACTGTGTCCCATATTCGGATTTTACCGAACTTATCTGTGGACAATGGAAAAGTTCATGAGGAATGGTGCTTGCCTGCAGAAGCAACATAGAATCCACTGGGGGAATATTTTGCAACGTGTACAACCCCAGAATGCTGGGTATACATGTCATTTTTAGATGGGTCCTACATAATGTGAAGTGTTCATAAATTCACTTGCCTGGAGATTACGCAAAACGACACTGTTCCCATTGGGATACAAAAGATACGTTCCTTTCGGGTCGGCGCCAAAAACAACAGGTTTTCCTCGGACGACGCGAGGTAGAGGCGGTATTACAATCTCTACGAATATCAATTATTGATTCGGGGGACGTACCAAGATCGAGAGACATTGCACAAACTCGTGCCAGCCGACCGTGACAAAAACCTCCGGCAAAACTGCGTTACACGTGTAATACGCGACTAACTGCGACTAGGTCAGGTCAGGTCACAGGACTTGTGGCTCGAGCCAATAAGTGTCCAGGTTCTTGCACCCCGAGCTCAGTGTTCTCGTGGTGCTCCGACTGCCAAGGTCAGAACAGTTCAGTTCAGTTCAGTTCAGTTTGCACAGGACGATGTGTGGCCCAGGCCAATCTTGCGTCCAGATTGATGTGTTGTTGGCTGTTCTTGTGGCTTCCAACACTGCGAGTCAATAGGTTTTTTCTGAAAGGCAGAAATTAAGGTGCAGTATCACGTCCTGGGCAATGGCCCTCAGGAATAATAGTTACTTACCATCAAACTTCTTCAGGGAAGGTAGAAGCCCAACAGGACGTCTGATGGTTCCTCTGAGTGACAGTACACGTCTGAGGTTTTACCAGGATC